GAACAATTAAATACCGTAATAGGCTATTATCTCTTAAACTACCAGTAACATAAAACAGCGCCATCTAGTAATTAGTTCCGGTAACTAGTCTTGAAAATGCTTTAACCACAAATTGCTAGTTATAAAACCCGTAATACCCATTAGGGTTTAAATGAAACCCGCGCGTGGAATAAAATTGTCCAATTATAAGTCATTTAGGAATACCGAGGGATACAAAGCTTGCACAAATTGGACATTTTCGTTATTTCAATTGCTAGAATGTTTGACGAGAATGACATGGATAAGGAATGAAAGATGAATGTAGATCAACAAATGCTTCAAGCGTGTCTTTGCATTGTTTTCACATATGCGTATAGTATTGGAATATGTACCGATTTAATAAATGAAAGAAGATTCATGTGCTTAGAAATGATAATAAAAACAATGACTTAATCGGCTATTGTAATGCCCATACTTTTTGTACTATCCGGACATTTTGAAAGAATCAGGGTTATATCAAAACCCTTTCGAAAATTACTTTCGTATTACTACTGATCATTCCAACAAATCTACTAATAATTTTTCTCTTAAAGTATTTTTAGTAATCATAGTACATATTCATAGTCCTTAAAGTAATCATACAACAGAATATGCCTCTATAAAGCCTAAAATGTTCCCTTCTAAGGAGCACACTCAAATGTACCTTCACTTACTGATTTCCCTCTCAAATCCACTTAAAGGAAATAAAGGAAATCGGATGTGGTAGCGCCATGTTTTATGTATTTTCAAATACTTAAAGAAAGTGCTTCAATTGTATTAGGTTTTAGTTTAAAATGGTACATGGTGTTCTTGTTAAGTCATTTTTATAAAAGTAGGGAATGTAGAAGATAGTTTTTTTGCATGTGACCTGTGTCGTTTATCGTCTGGTTGGAAACGGGATTTCAGCTTTATTTTCGAGGGGTGAAAATCATCCAATGATTTCTCCCGCCTTGGGCTTGGCGAAAGGGAGTGTCAGACTCTTACTGACTAAATACCACCCCGTTCCAACTCCTGCTCTTCGAGCCTGTGCCCCAGAATCCGTTAGGCCTTCCGTGGCTCCCTAGCGGGCACCAGACCTACTGGGCCCTATATCTGGTCTGATGACGGAACAAATCGCGCCGTACGCACAGGTCTGGTTCTGGTCGAGTGACGAACTCCCCTTGCTCGCTGTCCGCCAACCTGCACTTACTGTGGCCGGAGACCATTGCCAGTAAAAGGGATTCCAAGCTAAATCCATGCTCTTGTTTTATTGCTCGTGCTTATTTAAGTGCTCGTGGTTATGGTGTAGATAGACGATGTGACCTATTATGACCTATATTATGATAATGACTATTGTCTGGGGTGGTCTATTGTTGGACTATAAACCTCATCTACATAGAAGAGGTTTGTCATAATCTCCGTTCAAGGCAATCGTAGTTTGTCGCGGAGAACCTAACGGGTAACCGGGGCTCCGGCTCGACGTGCAGGAGAAGGAACGGGGTGGTTTTTAGTCAGTAAGAGTCTGACACTCCCTCCCGCCTCACCCAGGTGGGAGCAGCCATTCGATGATTTTCATCCCTTAAAAAAAATGCAAACGTAGTTTGAGAGATTCAGTTTTTAGAGGGCGCTCCTACCCAGTTTTTGTTAAATATGTACTTCTTTAGTCTTTTGCAACACCCACGGCAAAATAGAAACAGCAACATGCTTACTTATTTTGATTTAATTTTGTATTATTCAACAAAAAGGTGGACCTATCCAGAAGATTAAAATTCCGGGAAGCGTTTTACGGAACTTAACACTCCTTCTCACAAGATTTTAAAATGTTTAAAAGTAAATTGAGCGAGAAACTGTCGAGTGGGTACTCCTCAACGTTCCAATAATTCAAGGACTTTCTGAACTTTGACTTTGATAAGGAAAGGTGAGGAGTTTCAAAGTGACGGCCTGCTATTATAACAATTTATTTTTTTAGTCACGCCTTTTTGTTGTGGTTTGTAGTGGGAACAATGTAGTCTGTCGTGTTGTTTATATATTTGTATTGAGTTATTTTTTTATTGCCTTGTCCATAGTGATTCCACTACATTAGAAAACAATGTGAAGATATTTTAATTGCTGTTTTGAGAAATGAAACCATGGGTTTTGAATTACAGCTTTTTTCAAAAGAATCTGATATTACGGATCATAAATGTTTCGTTTTGTAAATGAAGAGCGATTTTTATTGCTTTCAAAGATTAAGCCTTTAACTGCCAACACAAACTATTAACTCGTCGAGTACCGGTTTTGCAGACACAATTATAGAACAATAGGTTGCGGTCACCGGTGACCGCTTGGTGTTTGACAGTTTAAGGGCTGTAATGTGCACCTCCGCCTGCGCCTTCGGGAACAAACGGCGTGATGTTATGTAAATAATTATTTAAAATTCACAAATTTTTTAGTATAAACTTTACCGCTTTATAGATATGGCATTATTACTTACTAACTATGAATATCATAACATCACATAACATCACGCCTTTTATCCCCGAAGGGGTACGCAGAGGTGCACATTATGCCACTGTACAATGTAACACCCACTTTTGACTATTTATGTTATGAGTCCCATGTAATAGGGGGTGAGCCTATTGCCATATACCGGGCACAATTCCAGACTCCGTGCTACTACTAAGAATTTTTTGAAAACCCAGTAATATTTGCCCGACCTGGGAATCGAATACGATACCCCTTGCCCGGCAGTCGCACTTGCTACCACTCAGCCAACGAGAGCAGCTATAAATATCAATACCAACAATTTTCTTTACTAGAACATAGAACTAAAAAAAAAAAACAATAAACAGTTACACAATTCTAAAATCATCTAATATTCTGTCTTAACCCTATATTTTTAACCACCATACACCAAAATGTTAATTTAAAACAAAATGAAGCCCGAAATGGAAAATTTTGAATATTAATTATCCCTTTGTTAGAACTTTCTTAGTTATTAACCAATATCTCGAATTCATAATACAATTTATTGGATATCGATTATTTTACAATACGATCGAGTTCATTGGTCCTCTTAGTAACAAAGAATAGAAGCTATATATTTTACTTTACTCAAGTTACTATAGTTTAAAAAGGGATTGTAAAAATACTTCTCGATCACATCTACTTCAGATGACAAGATCATAAAATTATAAAAAAAATTATTGACTGTTGTTCACTTTAAACCAAACTACTTTTAAAAAAAGTATTTGAAAAAAATAACAAAAAAAAAACAATAAGGCGTGAACCTATTGCCATATACCGGATATTACTGACTCCGTGCTACTACTAAGATTTTCTTTTTAAAAACCCCAGTAACACTTTGTCTGACCCGGGAATCGAACCCGTGACCCCTTGCCCGGCAGTCTCACTTGCAAGCACTCGGCCAACGAGCCAACTATTTACTTATGTATAAACTTTTAACAAGCTTTATAATTGCTGGACCTCTACAACTCGACTTACAACCATTTTCTATAACCTATCTATCTGTAGATTTGTTACTGAGATAGAATAGGGATGTTGACAGGGTATGAAAAATAAAAATCTAATAGTCCGTCAGTTAGGTAATGAAAAAATATTAGACACGTATTTTTTTATTATGCTGTATAATAAAATGATACTTAGATATAACGAATCAAAGTTTAGGAGTGGGGGGCTATAAAATGTACATAGAAGTGACATCACGTGACATTTCAAATCAATATATCGTCGAAAGTATTCGTTTCTGTAAAAAAATAAAAAATACTTGTCTAATGTTTTAAAATAATCTAACAGACGGAGATTAAAATAAAAATTAGGCATCTACCCTATTTTGACATAAGCTCCATATAAAATGTGTTAAAATACTATCTCAGTTATAAAGTGTAGAATCAATTCCAATCAATTTATAGTGGCTTTAACATCATTATAATTTCAGTCTGGCTAGCTTTCGATCTGAATCTGATCCCATGTTTAGCTAATTGCTGTTATTCCCAAACCCTATCAAAGTTTACTCAATTTATTTATATTCAGAATTATTCCTTTATTCGTTGTACGGTTGATAAACAAACGATACATTTTTTTATTGTGAAATAAAGTCAATGTTTTTGATTACCTTTCTTTCCCGTTTAATTTGAGTATCAAAGTCAAAGTCAAAAGTCAAAATAGAAAGAAAGAAAGAAAAATATTTATTATATTGCACCAGGCATGATGCAGCATAAATAAAAGACAATAAAGGTGTGACAATGGAAGTAATATAAAAAACATTGAGTTGAAAACTTAAAACAGAAGAATTAGAAGAGATACGCTGACAACATGCTAAAAGGGTAACCCACTCAGTATAAGCCAGGCATACAAGTCACCAAGTTAAGTCAAAATCAATAATTTATTTCAATTAGACCAGGAAAGCATTGAACGTCAACTCATATCCCTTTTCCGAAATTAGAAATATTATACACTAGCATTTGCCCGCGACTTCGTTCGCTTAGAATATGAATCCCGTTTTATCCTATGGGAGCATTTAATCGGGACAAAAAGTGTCCTATCATAGCTGGCTTAGGAGCCAGCCTAACTCCGTCCTTATATCAAATTTCATCAAAATCCGTTCAGTAGTTTCAACGTGATCTAGGGACAAACATCTAAATAAAGAAATATCCACAATTATAATATTACCTCTATTATGTTTGTTCATTGTTAAATCCAATGACATAACTTAAAAAAAAAACAAGAAAAAATTAGGAAAAATAAAAAAACATATAATAACTATCCTGAGATATACTAAATTAACTAAAATCACGGGTTACTTACGTGAATATACTGAGAAAAGCTCTACTAGTTTCGAACCACAGAGGGGTTCTTCCTCATTAGCAGCGTGCGCGGTCGCGGTGACGTGAGTGAGCTGCGCGACGTCGCAGCTTTTCTCAGTATATTCACGTGAGTAACCCGCGATTTTAGTTAAGAAAAATTTATGTTATATTTCCTTTACCATTTCCTAGAAACATACTATTACCTTTAAAATATATGTACTTAGTACGTATAGTAGTTCGGCCAATTTTCCTGAGAGTTCCAAGTTTTTAGGTCACCTTGTTGCCAATAACGAGGTACACATTTTAAACCACATTTCTTACAATATTTTCTCAAGTTTATGGTAAAATGTAAGTACCTGCCATTGCTACTGAAAATAAAATGTTGTGAAATGACTTTTAAGTCCATTTCAGAAAAGGTGGTTTTCAATTGTATTTTTTTTAGAAATGATAAATATATTTGCAGAAGAATTATTAGAACTTGAACGATAGGTATAGTTATTGAATTTGTTGGTAATGAACACGTTAAGTTTTTTTTAAAGATGAATATTAAAACAGGCCTTTGCCCTGCAGTGGGACGATCATGGCTGAAAATAAATAAAATAAATATTAAAACAGTAACTTAAACAATACAAAAATGTACTCAAACTATACAATTTACTTGTAGTTAATTTTAAGTTGTAAATATTTATGTAGTTATAGCTATTTAGTATAAAAAAAGCTTTACATATGTACAGAGGAGTGGAAGGAGGGTAGGGATAGGGAGGCCTTTGCCCTGCAGTGGGACGATCAGGGCTGGAAATAAAAGCTATTTAGTAATTTTATTTCATTTAAAGAAAGTTATCCAAAATAGTTAATTAATCATGTACAATCTATATCTTTTATAGTAATAATTATAGTAGTAATAATCATTAATTCAAATCCTCGATTCAGTATACTTACTGAATCGAGGATTTGATAATGATTGGTGAAATAAAAGATCAGATCAAAATGTACTCTACATTATCGTGCCAAGGTTTCTTTTACAATAAAATGTTTTATTTAACTTACTTTCAACAAAAATCTACTTGTTTCATGCTGCTGGGAATGTAAAGATGGACAAGAAATATAAGGTGCTCATTATTATATTAAACACAAACACTCTTAGATTGCGTAGAAAAATAGTTGTAGTGTAAAATAGACGCACGCTGTAGATTAGATACACAACATACTAGTTCAAACTTCATTTCATAGAAATGATGACTGTAACTTAGCTAGAAAAACTTATTAACTCTAACTCTCTCTTTAACTATAGATAACAATAAATGAAAGACTTATTGAAACTTCATTAACTTATCTATTTCTTGTCCATCAACAGTAGCTTAGTAAAATTATTAAGTATCTTACAACTCTTATTAATTTGATCATTCTAAAGGACACTCTATATATGAGGAATTGTAATTGGTTCAATTCCTATGAAATGGAACTCAAGACATACTCACAACCACATTACAGTTAAAAAAGTTCTGTATTTATGTATATTTTTATTACATAAGCCGGTAAACGAGCAGACGGATCACGTAATGGCAAGCAATCGGCGTCGCCCATAGACACCTTCAACACCAGAGGCGTTACAAGTGCGTTTCCGACCTTTTGGGGATTTGGAATTTGAGGATTGTTGAGGATTCCGGGATTAGGGAGATTGGGGAGGGGGTAATTGGGCCTCCGATAACCTCACTCACACGACGAAACACAACATAAACGTTGTTTCACGCCAGTTTTCTGCTCAGCCGTGGTATCACTCCGGTCGAACCGGCCCATTCGTCTTACTCTTAAAATTACTTTTAGATAGGGTTGTCCTAATAATTTTAATCCAACAGCACAACATGAGCACACTCTATCGTCTCATATGAGTAGCATATCACATCTGCCGATTACTCCTCGAATATTAGCCGTGATATTATAAAGCATAGAACTTTAACTTGTTCATATTATTACTAAAATATTGGAAGGTGCCAACCCTTAACCCAAGTTTCGCTTTATTCTGAAAATTGGTTTTAAATAATTTATTGGTTTTATGAATTTCATTGTAACGTTGTTACCTAGGGTTTATTATTTTGAAAATTGAGATTGTAAGTTTATAAGATTTCAGTGGTGTTATATCAAATTCTAGTTAATTAAGCTGACTTGTTAATCTACGTATTTTATGTTATAGGTAATGTAATGAAAATTACAGCTATATACACTAGCTGTGCCTGGGACTTCGTCCGCGTGGAACAGCTCCTCCCCCGTAGGTGATAGCGTGATATGCAGCCTATATAATTATGGACTCGACCTGTTAGTACAGTGTACTGTACAATACAGTACTTTTTAAGTTTAGCCTGGACATACATACATACAGACAAACTGACAAAAATTCTAAAAATCATGTTTTTAACTTCGATATCGGTTGTAGGTCACGATCCAAGCATTCTTTAAAAACAATATTTAATGTACTGTTTTTACTTCACTACGAATATATTATATGTACTTATATGCATAGATATAGATAGAATACACGAATGGGTCGGCTCGACTAGAGCGATACAAGGGACTCACAGAAAACGGATGCGAATCAACGCTTGCGTTGTGTTTCGTCGTGTGAGTGAGGTTACCGGAGCCCCAATTATAGTTATGTAAAAAACAGCTAGAAGCAAATAAAATAATCAAATATTAGATCTATAACTAAGTGATTAAATTAAACAATAAACTAAATTATCACGACAATTAAGTTCAAGGACCCTCATATCTAAATATTCGTTTCAGAATAATTTCAGCGCTATTTAGTTTTCAGTTTCATGTAGTGTAATTAATTAGATTGTATTTTGTAGTATAGTGACTGAAAGCCCTGCTGTAATTGAAATTATGAAGCTTGTTTAGATCTTGTAGCCGAGTTACTGTGAGGTTAAGCGTCGTATACCAAAGTCAGTCTGTAGATGTGTGACCTTAATTCTAGTTGATTGGTCTTTTTTTTAAGGGGGAAATTCATCAAATAACTTCTCCCACCCGGGTGAGGCGAGAGGGAGTGTCAGACTCCTACTGACTAAAAACTACCCCGTTCCTACTCCTGCATTTCAAACCGGAGCCCCGGCAACCCATTAATTCTACCGCGGCTCCGTATCGGCATCAGCCCTGTTGGTCCCCATCTGTGGTGGTCTTATGTTAGCGCGGTGCACTGGGTTCGTTTCCCGCATGTAACAACTCTTTATGTGATCCACAAATTGTAGTTTCTGGTCTGGGTGTTATGTGTATATTAACTTGTATGTTTGTAAACGTACCCACGACACGGGAGAAAATCCTAGTAAGTGTGGGGCAACGTTTTTATATAAAAATAGGTCTTAATCGAAGCGACCAATTACTAAAACAATCTTACTTATGCATTGTTTTTATACAAACTTAAAGAAATCTAAATTTGCTTTTAACCATGTCTAGCCAACACATTTAAGTTAATTTTCTATTTGAAGTAACGAGCATAGAACATTGTATTCTTTAACAAATTAAGTTAAAGAAAAGTTTGCACACAAAATAAAGTAAATAAAAACTATTTTCAGACAGTAATTCAATTTCATCACTTTTATTTTAGTTATAGTAAATGGGGCCTTGTATTTAGTTGTTATTTTGTGAGCACTATAATATAAAATTTGGTATTTAGGCATGGTTTTGTTTGCGAGTATAAAATATTATATTTAAATATTATAAAAGATTGGGGAAAAATGTTGCTCCCACGACGAAACACAACGCAAGGGTTGTTTCACGTCAGTTTTCTGTGAGGCCGTGGTGTCACTCCGGTCGAGCTGGCGCAAGCCTTTCGAATCATGGCTCTCCCACACTTAAAACTCTTTCTTTTCGGTTCTTACAACACCTATAAGGTGGTGAGATTTATTCTAATCTGTTATCCAATGGCACAGTTTTTAAGCAATTAGACAAGGAATAATATAATATATAGAGGTATATATAATAGATTATCTAAAAAAAAGTCATTCAAATCGACACGTCTCTACTAATACCTATCTATACAAGTGTTAGTTCTTTAGCGACATGGGTGTGTAGGTCATTAATCAGGAGATCTTGTTCCTGTCAGAGGAAACAGAGCTCTAAGGTAGGTATTAATAAAGCCCTCTCATCTCTCACATCAATCATTTGGTGAAGTGATTCGTTTTTATTGAGATTTGTAATGTGATGCACTGTGGGCTCCTTCCTGAAGATATGGTGGATAATGTTCTTTACTTTTTTTAAGTATGTTTTTGTCCCGGATATGCACGTTGTATTGTGCTCATTCTACAATATTGTAGGACTCCCTGGCCACGAGGATCGGCGAGCGAGAGACTATTCTCACAGCAGCGTTTGCAGGTTAACCACAGCCACACGGCGACCACAGAGCACGCATAAGAGACGGAACTTAGAACTTCAATTTCTGACGATTTCGTAACTGATTTTATCCAACCACAAAAACAGAGCTAACCAACAACAAAATCCTAATGAACTTTTGTTTTCCTGAATGTTGGCTGCCGCAGGTTACGGACTCCATACAAAAAAATATATTAGTTCTAAGTTTTATAAGACTGACGCCGGCGCCGTAGTGATTCATTCATTTGTTTTACTCGCCGCCCGGTGCAATTAGCACGGTATATTCCACCAGTCGCGCGGCCGTTGGCTTGATCAGTACATTTCTATGTTTTTGTGGTGCAGGTAGTCGTACCGGCACCAATAAGCTTCATAGGAATTTGACCTGTACGGCGATGGTCGTAAGGTTCTGAGTAACACGGTGGTGAAACGAGCGCAGCGGAGAAAGATGATAGCAATATTTGTTTTAGAAACGAGAAATGAATGATGTTATTGAAATAAATAGCAAATATATATTATTAAGCGAATACAAATGTGAACAGAGAATAAAAATTTAAAAGAGAGTAATAAGGTATCACTGGGTTTGTTATTCGTATGCGGGTGGAAGTGGCACTGTGCGGCGGTTCTCGGCGATCACGTAGGCCAGCTCGCATGCACTCTGCGGCTTGATCGTTCAAGGTCTTCGTCGCCGACTCCCGTACAAATAACATGCACTCGTGTTCCATTCGCTAGACACCCGTCACACGCGCGGTTTTTCTCTAGGGCGAATGTTTAATGTTACTGTCATTGAGGGTTTCCACCATGTCAGCCGATTCATGATAATAATATAAGCCATATCACGTCCAATGGCTAACATAGGCCTCCCTAACAATTATCAGATCTGAACGCCTAACAATCTTTCTTTGCTTTCGAATCAATGATTCTATAGAGATTATAAAATCTAAGATTAAGTACGGAATAATTCCCAGCTCCTTACAAATTACAAATTAGTTTATCAGTAATTAACTAAATTATAAGTCACGGTCCGCCATTTTGTAAGTCACGTGCCCCAATTAGGTTATATTTTAGCTAACGAAGCTCTTGATGGATCGTCTCTTCTACAAATTCAAGAATACTAATTTAATTTACTACAGTCATTAGCTTTTTGCCATTAAATTGGTGCTAAGCAAGAAATCTTAAGTGTGAAGTCTAATTTTCGGATAGATAAAGACTGACTGGAATTAATGAGGGATAGTTAGTAAGAGAATTATCATGTTTTTCTACTTAGGTATATTCTTCTAGAAAGTATAACATTTATTAAAACAGGCAGATACAAATGATAAAAGTAACGTATGTTTTTTGTTTTAATGTAACATAACACAATATAACTTTGTCACTATTTAAGTTATGAGTCCCATCTGTGGTCCCATGTAATAAGGGATGAGCCTATTGCCATATACTGGGCACATTTCCAGACTCCTACCACTGAGATTTTTTTATAAATCCCAGTAATACTTTGCCTGACCCGGGAATTGAATCAGAGACCCCTTGCCGGCAGTCTTATGTTAATGTCTTACTCGTAAAAGTCTTCATTAATCATAGTTTTTGTTAGCTCAAGTATTGCCATCTCAAAATGTAAAAACAAGGTTGAAGTTTGCATCCTAACAGTCACCAGTGGTGGACGCCACGATATCTACACACGAAATTATTTGGGCCAATCCCCGACCAATATAGTTCATTTTTTTTTATGGCATAAGCCGGTAAACGATCG